AATATATTGGCAAGTGAAGAAAAACTACACTCTAACCTGCCCTGGTCAGCCTATATATTGGAACTGCCATGCCAGGGTTGAATATGATATTCAGAAAGAAATGTTAACCAACAGAATCATCTTCAAACAAGTTCAGTAAGGGTTATGGATAATCTGTCACATGAAGAATGGCTGTGGTAACTGGGGTTTGTGTGTCAAAATATGAAACAAAAACAAGCATAAAAGTATGTTGTTGACCAAGCACAAGTTAGCTGCCTTTATTTAGAGTGTAACTATCTGAAATAGGAAATTGATTTGTTTTGGATACTCTCAACAGAAAATCTAGGAGCAAATAAATTTCCAGGGAGGAATATTTGGATGCAGTATTCAGAAAAACCTTCTCCTTGCTGCAGATGTTCAGCAACGGAATGAGCTGCTGTGGAAAGCTAGGGATTCTCTGTCTTTGGAATGTTTGTGCAGGAGCCGAGTCTGCCTTGCTGTGTGCTTTGGTGCCGCACATTCCTACAGTAGGTAGGAAGCTGGCCTAGGTTACTGATAAGGTCTCTTCTAATCTCAGTTTAAATGAATCCATGGAGAGTGAACAGAGAATGAGAAAGGAAGGAAAGGAAATTTCTGAGATGCATGCAGTTGGCATTGTGGACAGTAGGTGAGTGAGAAGGTAGTGGTTTAGGGAACCTGATCCCCATATATGCTTCATTCATAGTGTAGCATCAGGATCTCTCATATATATCTAACACACAAGAGTTAATTAAACTGGACCTATTATGTCCCCGCCTCAAATGAACCCAGCAGCTATGATGCACTGACTCAGAAGACATGCCTTTCCCTGGGAATGGAGATACATGGAAAGCGCAGTGGACCAGAAATAAGAAATTGGAGGTTTTAGAATCCAATCTCAGTATTGTCAGATATTCACCATCTGCTTTTTGAGCAGTTCTTGCAAATTCTAGTTGGCTTCACTAAAAAGGAGACTTGTGAGATGTTTACTAAGAACTTTTTATAATTGAATATAAAATAGTTCATCGGGTACAAGATCTAGACTTAGGAGCAACCTCCTGTCTCTGCTTCTCATATTTCACAATGGTTTCAGCCCTGAAATGAAATCGAGCATGCTTGTTTTCTTCCCCTGGTCTTGGGTTTTGATGCTAAAGCAAGGGTTTAGCGAAGGATATCATAATTCCTCGTTTTGACTACAGACTTGTCCTAAGGGGTTATTGCTACAATCGAATGGAATAGGATAAGTGTGGATTGAGTCTCTGTCACCCCCAAGGCCACAAAGATCTCCAAGGGAATCAGGAGACCTAGCCCGCGAACAGCCTTCAGAGCACGTTGTGGGAGGTGCAGACCAAAGGTGAGTTTACACATCAGTGACTAAAGTTTCCTGCCACTAAGCATAAGAAGTCACTCAAGAGCAGCGTCCCTAAACCACAGCTACAGGATGTGGGCACAAACCCTTGTATAATTGTTGGCCAAGAGCCAATAGGCATTCATCCCTGTGCAAATACTGGGGCTTTTTCTGTTGTTGTTAACCTTTGAAAACCACAGGCATCAGCCTCTCTTTCTTCCCCTTGGCACCGACGTCTTCTTTTCTCCAACGTGGTCTCTTATGTGTAAAGAATTTCTGAGGAGCTTTTAAGCCTAAATTTAATACGTTTGTCCTCCCCTCTCTTGCCCCACAAAATACCAGGCAGAGGTAAAAACCTACTCACAAAATATGTGCTGGCTGGGTTGGCTTCCGCAGTTTTGTTTGGGCTTCTTGATCAGAGAGCTCTGTGAGTGACCTTAGCCCTCAAGAAAATTCAGACAACTTCTGGAAATTCCCCCTGCACAACAGCAACCTGTTTGTTTTCTCGCTTCAGAGTTCGCCCCGCAACTATGATACAATAGTTTGGTGGCACGTCTTTATCTGGGAACCGAGCTATATGGAAAGAGCAGTGGACTGGGAATAAGGAACGAAGCTGTACCGTCTAATCCCAGTATTGCCCAAAATCCACCACCTGCTTTTTTGAGCAATTTCTTTCCAGTTTCTAGGCTTTTCCTCTGTGAAATAAAAGCTTTGGATTAGAATTAGCTGGTTCTTATGCTCCTATAGTCCCACAGCTCTGAATTGAAATGCTCAGGAATGTTTCAGCAGAGGGCCGATGAGAATGGGCCTCGAGGTCAGAGATCCTAAACTCATAAATTGTCCTATTTGGGGCTTTCCAGGCTGGCCAAACGTCAGGCCTCCATGGAGGTGCTGTTGCCCACCGGGAGGTCAGGCACTGTGATTCTTGACACCCACCTTGTTAAAAATGATAGAGAATTAATCAGCCGTGACTCCATACCCGAATGTCCCACATCCTAATATGGAAACCCAGGCTGAACCTACTCCAGCATAAGAATACTTTTCAATAGAAGGATGGCAGATGAGCATTGCACGGTCTGAGTAAACAAAAAAGTAACTTTCTAACCACCAGAACCAGCGGAGATGTGTTGGAAGTCTGTGGGCAATAGTAATGTTCAGGCAGCTTCTGAAAGGAGACTTCCTGGGATTTTCTAGGAGGAATTTCTGCATGGGATAAAGATCAGATAAAGAAGACCGCCCACCAGGACATTTTAATGATGATATGTTTTTTACTAAGTGCCTCTTATATCTAACCCTATTCCCAATCAAACCTATGATGACCCTTTGGAATCTTCATTGGTATAGTTCGGATGATAGTCTGAAGGAAAAGCCCAGGTATACATATAGGTCCTGTGGTTTGTGGATGTTTGCTGAGCATAGGAACAAGAAGCCCAAGTGAGAACATCAAGTGTTAGCTGAGAAAATGATGGTCAGTGGGTCCACAGTGACCAGGAAACCATTACCAGGGAGAACCGAATTTAGTTTTTTGGGATGTTGCTTCACTTTCTGCCACAAAAGTCACATCATTCTGCAAGCAGGTACTCAATGCTTTTTCTTTAATAAAATAATTTAACCTCATTCCATTAAGTCCTCACAATACCTTTATGAAAAAGGCAGAAGAGGTATTATTGTCTCCATTTTTCAGATGAGGAAATTAGACCTTAGGAAAGTTAAAGTAATTTTCCTGACTGATTTAACTCTTTCCAAACAAAAAGGAGTCTAATTAATTAGTAGCAACAATTATTTGGAGAATCATAAAACTCATAGGTTAGAGGATTACAACAATCATCTCCTCAGGAATCCCTTCCACAATGTCTACTTTACCTGTTTCTACCTGAACACATCAAGCAATGGGTACTCACTACTTCAAGGAGCAACCCATTCTATTTTTGGACATTTCTAACTTTATGAAGTTTATTCTTGTTTTCAATTGCCATCAAAATCCATGTATTCTCTCATTCTCTGACCATAATCCTGCTTTCTAGCTTGCATTTATTACTTTAGGACCTATCCCTCAAGAGGTCTTTGTGAAATGCGAAGAGGGTCCTCATGCCATCTCTGAGTTCTCCATACTCACAGCTTTGGTGTGATTAAGTGCTCATTCTGTTGTTACAGGCTGGACCTCAGGGCTCAGAGACATCTGCCTCCTCTCATCTTTTCTGATTTGATTCCATTGATGATGTTACAATGTGTCCTTTAGAAGGTCATTTGGGAACAGTCCAGCTTAGGTTACAAAGAGGACAAATGTGCAGAAAGAAGTCAATTGTCAGGCTGATCCTTAAATGGTAACTGAATAGAAAGGGCTGGACATTTCAGATGCTTCTGCCAACAAATGCCACTATCTTGAGGCAAATGGGGATTTTCAGGCAACAGTGTTATAATAATTTGCCAATTATGTGTACTTGAGAATCATTGCCAAAATAATCCAACGACTTTTCATTCCACCGCTGTTGACAGGACAGCTAAAAATTTCAACATTTCCTTTTACAGACTGAATAGAAGTTCCCTGCCTTGGGGATTGTAACAATATTTGCTATCATGGGGAAGAAAAGTGGATGCTGGGAAGGGGAAAGAGAGGGAGGGAAATACTAATGGAAGTAAACAAAGACAAAATGAAACGAGGTTTATTCAAGGCTTGGGTTTTGAAAGCCTCCATCAAATTGACATCTGTGAATGTATCAGAGGACAAATCTTAGGAATTGAGGAAGTGTTTCAAAGAAAAGACTTCAAAAATAGATGCCACATAAGCAAAAAGAAAGAAAATTACGTGAAAATTTGTATTTGAACATCTACTGAGGTTTCTCAACTTGGAGTCTTGGGACAGGCAAAAAGCTGATTGTAATAATGTTTATGGTGTTCAGCATTTAAACCTTACTTTCAAAATGTTAAAAATAAGATAAAATTGAAAAATTAAAAAAATACAAGAAACCTGAAGAGTTAAGAAAAGATGAGATAATATTCCAAGTTATGCAAAATTAGAAAAAAGAGCAATGGAAAGAGAATGAGTTAGGGTGTACCTCAAAACAATTTGGGGTCCATAGACATTCCACAGGGCCCCCCTCTGAGACCCCCATAAAAAGACACCAGAGGCATTCCCAACTCTACTTCAATCATTACGGGCCCGTTTTACCTACTGGACATCTATTAGAACAAAAGGGTCTGTTATTTTATTTTTTTTTTAATGTTTAAACAAAGAACTGCAAACAGAAATGAGCCATAGAAAATTCTTGAGCAGGGAGTGATATGATCAAATTGCGCTTTAGGAATCTGGCAACCAAGAGCAGAAGGGATCAGAAGAGAGTCAGCCTTGGAGTGAGGATCCCAATGAAAAAGCTATGACCTTTAAAAAAAACAGGGTATGACCATTCTCCAAGTGAACAGAAATAAAAAGTTGATCTAATAATGTATCTGTGAGAATGAAAAGGAGAAGACGTGTATAAACAATTTTGAAAGAAGAATGAATAATTTGACATCTGGGCACGGGGGTATAATGCTAAACCACCTACAGAGGTGGTACTTCTATGGTCTGAATGTGTCCCCCCCAAAAAATTTTGTATGTTGAAATCCTAAAGGCCAATGTGGGGCCACTCGGCAGTGATTAGATCATGAGGGCAGAGCCCTTATGAATGAGATTAATGCCCTTATAAAAGAAAAGAAGCAAAAGACAACACCGTTGCTCCTTTATAAAGTCTGCAGCCTCAGAAGATACCCTCACTGGACCATGCTGGTACTTTGATCTCAGAATTCCAGCCTCCAGAACTGTAAGAAATAAATTTCTGTTGTTTATGAGCTACGCAATGTGTGGTATTTTGTTATATCAGCCCAAATAGACAAAGACAGATACTATATGGAATGTAACTGGCAAGGAATTTAAAGAAATGAAAATTGATGTATTTCAAGGATGATGGCTGGGTCCATAAACACGCCAGAGAAATCCAGGAACTTGAAGATGCTGAAGGTGAGAGGTCGTTGGAACACTGATGCAGATGAGCAGCTGACACAAATGCAAACCTGAACATTGAAGAACATCAGGGATGCGAATATGGACTTGGGAATGATTCTCCTAAGAAGGGTAGCTATAATAATACAGACAGTGAGACCTCGCAGATAGAGAGATCGAGACCAGAGGGCTAAAGATCAAGGCCTGCAAAATGCCTACAATTAAAGGACCCAGAAACAAGAACCCAGAGCGTCTGCCCTAAGTTTATACACAGATATTCATTTGAAAATATTATTTAGTGGACTTAGGATAATTTATTTTCTGGTTTTAGGAAATTTGATGATCCTTACATAAGGTCTGAAGTGTACATCTATCATTCTAATCAAGGTTTTTAGATTTCTTAAGATACTAAATATCCAAAACCATATAATACTATTTAAAAGTAGTTCATTGTTTCAGTCCAAAAATATGATGGGCTGAACCAGAATCTTCCATAATGATATATCTATAGATGGTGTGCTTATACATCAAAAAGAGTCTCAAAAACCAATACTTCCACGGGCAAGGGAATAGCCAAGTTTGTTGCGGTTTCCAATGAATGACATCAGTCCCATGTAGGTCTCGATCAAAATGGGTTCAGTTAACACCATCAGGTCCTTTCCTCTTCCAGATCCGCGTGAACTCTTGAGGGCCTGCTGTACGGCTGGGACAAGCTCAGACGTGAACCCAGACAACTGAACAGGGAAAGAAGGCACAGAGTTAGTGAATGGAGATTCAGTCCAGATGAGCCCCCTCCCTCACCAGTCCTTATAAAAGTTGACCACTCTTGGGAGCTACAGTTATTCATATTTCTTAAGCAAGAATCATTTCTCAGAACTGTTCACGTGGCTTCTGTTAGCCTTTTAGTACATTAATCAGTTAACAAATTAGATATTTAACAGCGTCTGCCTCATCGCGTTTATTTTTGTCATTCATAGTTTGTGCGACATTAAGAAGTCAGTTTAACACATGTTTGCTGGTAGTGTGTTATGAATCAGACACATGTTGGGTGCTACTGAAGATGAAAAGACAAAGAACATATAGTCTCTGCCCTCAAAGAAGTGATACTAAAATAATCTAGGAAATGAACGTGTAATGATTATTCAAAGTTCACAAAAATAAAGAGCAAAAAAGAAGCACAAGAAGCTGAAGGAACACAAACAAGGGAGGAATCATACATGATTAGAGAATCAGGAATGATTGAAAAGAGTGTCTTAAGACAACCCTTTAATAGTTAGTAGGGTTTCGCCCTGGCCAGTTTGGCTCAGCGGTTGGAGCGTGGCCTGCGGACCAGAGAGTCCCGGGTTCAGTTCCCGCTAGGGGCACGTACCACCAAAAAAAAAAAATAGTAGGGTTTCAACCAGTGCAATAAGGATAAGGAGGGCCTACTTGATAGTTGCTGTTTTTTCTAACCCAGCACTAGTTCCACCATTTGAGATTATTCTTCTCATAAGAGTACTTCCAGTTTCCTTTGGAGAACCACTCTTCCATTTCGTCCAAGTAGTTTAAGTGGAGCTGAGTTTAGCACATGACTCAGTCCTAATCATTCAGAGGAATCCATTCCTCTGGTTGCAGAGATTGGTTCAGGTGTGGCCACATGACCACTAGAATTGGGAAATTGATAGAATACTAGCCAGTCGGTATTCATGGCCACACAGTAAGGACCTAAGTAACATGAAGCAAACAAAGGTGAAAGAGCTTTGGTATCAAGTGAGATGAATTCTTAACAGAGACATTTGAATTACTATGTCAGCCTACCATGAATTCTTAGTTAAATGAGTGAAAAGAAAATGCGTTCTGTGGTCAAGCCAAGTCCAGGTGGGTTAAGAGGAGAGTAATTCAGGTAGCAGTCCAGAGATATAAACAAGGAAATGAATTGAGAAAGCTTTTATCTTTGCATTTCCCAAAAGCTTTTTTTCTATCACCATTTATCCCCTCTGTGCCCTCTTCCACCCCCTAAAATCACCAAACTGTTATCCATGTAAACTTTTTTATATCCTTTCTCATTCTAATATAAAACTGTCAGGTTCGTAAAAGAAAGTATCATCATTTCCATGTTAGAAACCAATTCTCATATAGAAAAATGACTTACCCTAAGTCACTCTATTTTCTGTATCATAGTTTTTTGGTTTTTTTAAATCTAGGAATAAGGGTCTACTCACAGTAAGATCCAAATCTACTTCCTAAGCAATTGAATCAATAGCAATTCAAATTATTAGGCATAGAATATAAATCGCTCTTCCCCTTCCTCCACCAGGCAGCCACTCTCTGCTTTAAAGAACAAAAACAGGAGTGATGAGTCAATAAAGAAGTAGAAGCCTATAGACTTTCACCACAATCTAATTTTCTATGTAGGTTTTATCCCAGATTCTTAATTTTATATCAAGTAGCCCTTGGGCAAACCACTTCTCCATATTGGGTTTAGTTTCCTTATTAGAAAAACAAACAAAACTAAAATTTAGAACATATCTATTATTACTAGTTGACCTTGCACCTAAGTGAGAAAAAAAAAGAAAAAGAAAAGAAAAAGCCATGCAAATTAAACCTGTAATTTGCTAGCTGGGTAACACTGTAATTTCACTTTGCTTTTAGAGCCTTAGTTTGTTCTTTTGAAAAAAGGCATTAAATTCTGTTTTTAAGGTAATGTCAGAAGGAAAGGTTAGTCACTGATGATAAGACAACAGAGAGTTTGCAAAATACCTATGTGTGGGTTTTTCAGAATAAACCAAAGTATTTGTCCCTCTACTTTTATTTAAAGTAATATTTTCCTAATTGGATAATATAAAGACATTGATTTTTTTTAAAGTCTCGCTTCACTGAGGTTAAAGACTCTAACAGACAAGCAGGGTTTTGCTTGTTCTCCACGAATTTCATGTAGAGTCGCAAAGACAGACAGACAGCAGGTACATCTTATTACCAATGCCAGCACCCTCTCTGAGACCTCAGAAGAGATCTAAATATCGGTGTTACTGAATGAAACAAGATGTAGTCACATAGCCCGGGGATTCTGGAAGCAAGGACAGCGTCCTTTTCGCACAGTCTATCAGTGTTTTAGTTGATTGGATATGAAAAGCAGTAGAAAGTGTTCTTTCTTTAACTTCCAAAAGAGGAAAAACAAAAAGGAAAAAACAAGTTAGCATGGGCCTTTCATCACTGTGTTTGAAAATCACTGTATTTCAAAGTCAGAAGTAATCTTAAATTTATTAATTTCAGCCACTCACCTATGATTTTACTTTCCTTACCATATCCTCACCAAGAAGCCACACCTTTCTACACAGACATATCCAATGATATGCAACTCACTGCTATGTAAGCAAATCCTTTCCATCACTGTGTATAGTGGGAAAATGCTTGAGACTAGATACAGACATCTGGGTACGTTTTCTTGCACTCTCAGTAACTGATGATTAGTCCTAGGAAAAATCATTCAATCTCACTAAGCTTTAGTTTACACATCTGAAATGGGAAATAATAAAATGATAATGTTACTAAAACTAACCTCATCAGGTTGTTGTATGAATTTAAGTGAATTACTCAAGATTATTTTGTAAAGCATATTTATTGATATAAATATTATTATTTGTAGGTAGAAAAGATTTTAGTTCCCTTAATCCTATTCCCTTCAATCTCATACTTTGAATATGAATTTCCTTAATATGTGTCATAAATTCTAGAAAACACTTTTTTTTAAAACTGTGACATGCGTTTTTTAAAGCAATGAAGAATTAGTTCCCTGGATGCCAAAGTATACGTTAAATTCTACTCAGAAATCATGATTTCAAAAACACAGATTGAGTATCAAAGTATTTCCCCAAGACATTCACCAGTTAAAAGGGAAAAGTATTAACTCTACAGAGAAGAAACCCAGCACACCCCACCTTAAGTAAGTGATCAAGGTTAACACCACAAGTAGTAAGACACACAGGCACCACAAGCTTGCGATTTGACGCAGTGGAAGGGCACACCATCATTTCTGCAGTATCCGTGGTAACACCCACCCACACACACAACACGCCGAAATCTAATCATGAGAAAATATCAGACGCATCCAAATCGAGAGATCTTCTACAAAATAACTGAACAGTATTCATCAAAAGTGCCAAGGTCATGAAAATAAAAGAAGAATGAGAAAACTGTCACAGTGTCGGGGACAATAAAGACACAGAACACCAACATGTAATAAAGGATTCTGGACTGGGTCCTGGAACAAACGGAAGACATTAGGGAAAACACAACAGTGAAATGAAAGTTGAATAGGATCTGTAGTTTGTTAATGTCATGGTACTAATGCTTCATTTCCAGGTTTTGATCACTATATCATAGTTACGTAAGTTGTTAGAAGAGCTTGAATACAGGTCCATGGGAACTCTACCATAGCTGCAATTTTTCTTTAAGTCTAAAGCTATTTTAAAATAAAAAGCATTTAAAAACTAAGTTTTAAAAAATTCTAAATATTAGTCTCCCAAGATTTTTGCAGTTTCCATTATTCATGGAGAAAAGTTTACAAGAAAAACAGGTGCAACAGGATATTGTTACTTGTTTTTCTTATCTCTATATTTTTAATATAAACCTACATCAAAACTATACAGGCATTAGTATATTTTCATTTAATAATGTTGGGGCAGCAGATTCCTGAGGGTTTGGGGACAGGGTGTGGAAGAAAAGAAGCCAAGCAGGTAACCTGCTTCAGCCCTTGCAGTCAAATCCATTGGACAAGCTCTATTTTTATTAGTGTTATATATTTGGGGTCTGAATAAGATTGTATTTTAAAATGGCTTTTGTCTTTTAAGAAAATTGCGAGCCCTGGCCAGTTTGGCTCAGCGGTTAGAGCATCAGCCTGCGGTCTGGAGAGACCCGGGTTCGGTTCCCGCTAAGGGCATGTACTTCGGTTGCAGTTTGTCCCCAGCCCTGGTTGGTCGTGCGGGTGGCAGCCACTCAATGTGTCCCTTCACGTCGATGTTTCTCTCTCTCTCTCCCTTCCTCTCTCTCCCTCCCACTCTATAAAAAAAAAAAAAAAAAAAAGAAAAGAAAATTGAGAAACATGGTGCTAAGCTTGCCGAGGAACCTCGAGCTCTGACTATTCAATCCACAAGATCTATAGTGCCCACATTTCTATTCATCGTAAAAACCAAGCTTAAACCTTATCTTGCCCACAATGCCTTCCCACACAGTCAAGGCAAAAATTATTTTTTATTCTATTACATTCTATTTAAACCTCCACTCAGATAGTTAATTTAGTTGTCTAGGAACTAGAATAAGAAGTGTGGCTGTCTGTCTGTACCACTAGACCAAGGTTTCTCTACTTTGGGACAATTGCTCTTTGGGGCCAGATAACTCTTTGCTGAAGGAGAGGACATTCTCTTTATTTTAAGAAGTTAAGAAGCCTTCTTAGCCTCCACCACTAGGTACCAATAGCATCCCACCCCAGGTATGACAATCAAAACTGTCTCCACACATTGTCCAGTGGCCCCTGGGGACAAAATCATCCACTGAACTAAAGAAAGTATAGCATGATATAACATGAGTATTGAAATCAAACAGATCTTGTTTTAATTTACAAATATGGCAATCACTAGCTGTGTTGATTTTACAATTTCTCAATTAATTTTATAGTAAATAAGACTTATTTTCTATTAAATAAGACTGTTAATAGGATCACACTCATTATTTGTAAGGATTAAACTAACTTAAATAA